GTCTTAATGGAAACCCCATTTGTGTGTGCACCATCTTTTACATAGTCAGCCATACCATTTCCCATCTTATTCGTTATGTCAGCGATGATATCACGAAACCTAGTTATATGGAGGAAAATATTATCATATGATTTTATGTAGCACTGAAATAAAAAAAAATAAAAAATTCACATACTCCTTTCTAAGAGACAAAAATTCATCAATCACAACATCAAATTCTACGAGTAATTGACGATCTTTTTCAAGGGGACCACCTGAACATAAAAAAAATCAACAATAATAAAGTAAGGAAATGATTATAAATTCAAAAAAAAAAAAATTAAATAAATAAAATTGAAACTAACATCCCGTAAAAGTCCATCCTTTTTGAAAAATAATTTTATGGAAAGACCTTAGTAATGGTTCTTTCGTTTCAATAGGGATTGTCATGTCGTCTTCGATGGTATCAAGCCCACGAAGAACGAGATAAATAAGACAAACCTAAATTAAATTAAATTAGATTAAGTTAATTAAATTAAATTAAATTAAATTAAATTAAATGATAAAACCACAATCCATACAGCATCTCTCACAGCATCATCCAGCTGTTTAGTTACAGCAGCAAAAGAACGAGAAGTTTGATCTAGAAACTCATAACAACGTATCTTTTGTTTGTTTTCTGATTTAATTTCAAGTATATTTTTAGGCTTGTAAAATATAAATTGGATAAGAGCACTAATTTCGGATGGATGAGATATTGTTTGAAATAGAGATGATACTTTCGACATTATGGGAATTAAAGAGAAAGAGTTTATTAAGTTACGTAGCAAAACGCGAATTTTTAGATAATATGGACTAGGTGCTGGGAAAAGGCCGCAAATGACAATTTTTTCGAAAGAGTTTTTTTTATTTACATAAATCAATTTAGAATAAATTAGGATTATTTTTCACTTAAGATACAAAAGTAGTTGTATTAATACAATTTTGCATTTTCTTTATGGTTTATAATATAAAATTGATCTTTTTTTTTGTCATTTACGGCCCTTTTTCCAGTACCCATATTAGTCATGTAACGTATATTGACGTTCATACGTACATATGTATGGATCTGTATATTTCCCGAAAATCAATTCATTGACAATTAATTTCACTGACAATCAATTAACCGACAAGTTTATTTCACCAACAAATATTTCAATTGCAGCCCATCTTACCGACGAGTTTTTTTGAAAAAATTGCACTAACCTTAACTTAATTCTAATCTGACCCTAACAAAAATGACCAGAATTACTTTGTCGGTGAAATGAATAGTCGGGTGAATAAACATGTCGGTGAATTGACTGTTGGTGAAATGGGAGTGATTGTCAGTGAAATGAGCACCACCCTTTTTTTGATGCGGTTAGTGTAAGAGTTTTATATAGATATCAATAACGCAATTATGCAGTATGTAGATCCTTATTTTAAAATGAATGTTGTACTTTTTTAAATATTTTACTTTTAATAAAAATATCTTAAAATCAGGTAATTTAATACTGTGAGACCCGAAACGTGACCGGTACACGTGACGAAGATCCCGAATGTCAGAAATGTCAGGTATGTCAGATATATCAAATATGTCTGATATATCTGATATATCTGCTATATCGCATAAGTGTGATATATTTATACGATAAATTAGACATATACGATATATTAGATATGTTTGATATAATAGACAATCTCATAATGTAAATAGACAAGAACGTTTATTATAAATAAAGGGCAATTCGCCAGGCCAAAAGAGCAGTGATTACAATTGCGAAATAAAAACTAACTACCCGACCCATAGTACAAGTGAAAGTGTTGCCTTATACAACCAGTTACTATCGTAAATCCCATCTCTAACAATACCCGTTAATCCCAACAATAAACTAAACCCGTAATTGATCGCTCGCCTAGTCACGTGTCCAGTAAACCGTTACGTAAGACCCGAGAAGAGTTCCAATCCCGATTCGACGTAGTGAAATCCCGGTTGAGACAATAGAAGATAAGAAATTAGAATAAGAGTAGGTTGAAGGAAAGCTCAAGAGAAGAGACCAGTACTTACCTACGGACGATAATCCACTCGCCAAATCTAACACGCCTGTTTCGACTTGGCCGCCGTAGGTTACACGAGAGTTGGCTTAGTTTAGCGCCGATTTCCGAGACGACAATACCTACCAATTTTAATATCATTCGAATCATCTTCATAAGACGATTCACTGATTTTAAGTTATTTTTAGCAAAAGTAAATATTTAAAAAGTGCAAAATGTAGGTTTTCCCCTTGCCGGCACTCAAATGGGGTATATAGTTGATGGTAAATTAGTACAGTACGAAACGCTAGGGTGATCATCAAACATTATTTAGGGTCGCATATGATAAAAAATTTGATATAACAAACTATATTTTTCGCTCAAAAAATGTACCTACATCTATTGTTTTGAAAAAAATTTACTAGTAACAATTCTACGTACTAATAAAAAATTTAAGCAACGGCAGCATCTAAAAGATGCATGCAAAAAGCGTCGTTCAGAAAATAAGTTTGAAAATATTGTTGAGGCTAGCCATAATGAAAGCAATAGTAGTAAATAAAGAAAACAATTTGTGAAAGTTAATTTTCCGAAATTTCCGAAACTACTAAAATATAAAAATTTCTCAATAATATGTAGCCCTATTAATTATACAAGGAACGAAGTGCATGGTTATCAATGAGTGAAATGATGTGAACAAGTACGTTCTTCTGATTGGTTGTCCTTTTACATGACTTGGTGGATTGTTTGCAGTTTAGTTGCAAGGGCGTGAGCCTCGCTTTTTTTCACTATTTTGACCATGGACATGTTCTGAGTTATTTCACGATTTAGGTCTATTCCGAATTGACCTAGGTCACTCACCGATTCAGAAATCACCCAGGTCAATGTTTTAATGAACAATCTCGAGTGACAAATAAGCACCAACTAGTCAGTGCTTATTTGTCACACCTTATATCACTTGATCCCAAAACTTAATAAAAATTTAGAACCAGAATATTGCGTATGCCAAATTAATTAAATTATAAAACTTTCAAATGTTTAACTTTATTGATAAATAACCTTTTTTTTTTCTTATTAATTTTTAAAATGGAAATTTATGACCTTTTGACACGTGAAACCTTTGATCGAATATTAAAAGCTTTTATCATCAAAGGAAAAACAATCGCTGTTTAATGGATCAAATAAATATAATCAATATTTAACTGTAATTAAAAATGCCAACGACTTATATAACTAAAAATTAAAATATCGGGTAACATAATTTTAAATTTATTTACATTGGTGCAACCGACCTGGGGATGCAAGTTTGTCCCGTCGAAAACTTTTAAGTCGATCTAAATTTTCTTAAATTTACATTATGTGAAATTTTTTATGTTTTAACATGCATATTTATTGCGGGGGTTTTTTTATTTGTATTTCACATCTTTTATTGTGAATTTATTATTATTTATTTGTATTATTAATTATACGATTTTTTTTATTTGAAGCATTAAAGCATTTTTTTTTTACTCAGCTAAATTTTATTATAAAAATTTTTATGTTTTTGATTTCTTTATATAAAATTTTGATTTTTTTCATGCAAAAGAACTTTAACAATATAATTAATATTATTGCTTGGGTTATATAATATATCGCTTGGGCATATAATTTAAGAATGACCTAGGTCAATACGGAATCGACCCAAATCGTGAAATGACACAGAACAGTTATACCCATATGATCAATTTGTGTGCTATATCACATATACTTAGTGACACTAAATTATGATAGATAATAATGCTATATTAACCACACATAATGCATAATACACTAGCATTAGAGTTGCTTAGGTGAAGACTTGGTAAATCTAATTAGAGTTCTCGGCATAACGTCCATTGAGTCTAAAATAGTGATGGGAAAAATGCGCATTTATAATAACATGCGCATGATATCGCATGATAAAAAAAAGGCAAAAAAAAGAAAAAACGTTCGAGAGGAGAGAAATCTTGATGGGATAAAATGCGCATGAACCGGAATCATGCACACGAATGAAACCCATCTCTAGTCTAAAAGCATACCATTTACAGAAATAAATGGAACTTTAGAAAAAAATCTTTCTAACCAATTAAATTAATATAAATAAACAATATGATTATGGCATGGAATTCAGAACTTGGCATGCATCTGGTATGTCGGATTTTTTATCGTGCTAAGAACCCTAATATTAATGTGAGTTTCATTCCGAAATCTATCTTCCGTTTCTGGTTTTGCGTGACAGCGTCGCGCAGATACCTTATGGTTTGATTTAACGATTTGATGCTCGTCATTTGGGACGGACATGTGAAAATAATGAACCCCTGTAGAACTCCAAGTACCCCAGTGGTTATAATTGGCAGTAGGATTATTGAATTATAATGACGGCATTTTACCAGATGGTAGAATTAATTACAGCACGTACCTGATTGCGATAAATATTATATACCGTATTGCTGTATTACCGTAATACCGTAATGCCTCATGCCAAATGAAAGAGAAGACTCAATCCTTATAAGTGAATCATTTTTTAATGTTTAGAGTTAGGGCATTGTTTTTTTTTCATGTGAAGGTATAGGAAATTTAGCTTTGTTTTGAATGAATTTTTTCTTTTACCAACCATACATACTATCGTTTTTTCATAGTTGGTAGTTTCCCACATAAAATCCTTTCCTCTTGTGATTTTTGCCGATTAAATCAAAAGATCAGGTGTAAACAATCTTTAGGGTTAGGGTTAAAAAGAAAAAATTTTGACTCATATCTGCAGATTTACAGTCTAATAAATATAAAACCAATCAGCTAAAATTCCGAGTAAAATAACTTATTGATTTCTATACGGTTTTGGCCACCTATTTTGAACAAATTAGCAATCAAATTTGAACATCAAAGCAATCAAATTTGTAATCAAATTTAATCGCTATTATGTTCAAAATCAATTGTTGTTATGTTCAAATTAAATTATTAATTTGTCCAAAATAGGTGCAAAAACCGATAATAACTGATGGGTTTTAATTCGACGATATGTAATGTTTTATGGGGGATCTACAACTAACCAAGTGGCACCGATTGGTCAATTGCTGTCGATCAGTGAAAATCTGTCGGTGACACTGGTATAGTTGGTGGTAGAATTAATTCGGCAAATCAATACAGTTACGACATGTGCCGTATTATTTTCGTAATGGCGTAAAGCCGTTGTATCTGAATATTGTAATGCTTTGTGTTAAAATTATAGTTGTTAGACAAAACCTTTCCACATGAAGACGAGAAAGGCGAAACATAAACACAGAAAACCAAAATCACTGGCGAAAGGTGAAATAAAAATTCATCCGACGAAAAATAAACCTAGTGTGCCTATAGTTGTTAGGAGAAACTGTTTTTCGCAAATGGCGAAACACGAAACTGGCGAAACTAAGACGAATGGCGAAACCCCTGGCGAATGGCGAATGACGAAACCCCCAAAGACGAAGTTCAAGCTATCAGCAAGTTTAATTCTCTAAGGCTTTGGAAAAGGCCGAGCCATGTTGGAGAATGAAATACTGTATATATCTATTAAGCATTGCATGCTGTGAGCCCGATTTTCAGGGTCACGAGTGCCCGAATCGAGAAGACGATCACTACCCGATCCAAGGTCACGCGAAAAGTAACGGAAGTGTTACTTACGTTACTTATGTTACTTCTGTTATTTCTGCTACTTCGACCACATATTCGTTAAATGAAATATCGGCTT